GGGGCTTTAGGGGTTTAGGGTTTAGGGGTTTAGGGGTTTGGGGGCTTTAGGGGCTTTAGGGCGTTAGGGGTTTAGGGGCTTTAGGGTTTTGGGGTGTGGGGGCTTTGGGGGTTTAGGGCTTTATGGGGGCTTTAGGGCTTTAGGGGTTTAGGGCTTTAGGGGTTTCGGGGCTTTAGGGGTTTAGGGGGGTGGGGGCTTTAGGGCTTTAGCGGATAGGGTTTATAGGAGTTTAGGGCTTCAGGGGTTTAGGGTTTGGGGTTTAGGGTTTAGGCCCAGAGAACCCAATACCCCTTCATTAAGGAATATACCTTAAATCATCATCTTCCAGGCCCCTACAACTTAAGGTATATTCCCTAATTAAGGTGTATTGAGTTCTCTGGGGGGTTCCATGGGGTTTGGGACCCGAACCTTAAACCCTAAACGCTATTGTAAACAGGGGCCTTAATGATTTTAATAGGGTTTTGGGGTACGCTATAGACTGTAAATGCAATAAGGAAGCCGCGAAAGAGACCCCATTATATAGGCTTTTGGGCTAGTTTGATGCTAAGGGTTTGGGTTGGGGGGGGAGGCTTAACTGAAAAAGGTCTCGAGCTCAGCGCTTAGAATCTTCGGGTTTCGGGCTTAGGTCGTTTAGGGTTTAGGGTTTAGGGCGTTTAGGGTTTAGAATTTTCGGTTTTTGTTGGGTTTCTGGCTGAGTTTCCTGAAGTCGCGATGGGCTGCCATAAACCCTAAACCCTAAACCCTACTGCCATAGGGATTCACGGATTGTGTAGGAGTCTCGAACTTTGGGGCTTCGAGCTTTACAGACAACACTCTTCTTCTTCGGACAGCTGCGTGGTTTGGGTTTAGGGTTTACCTGTAACCGACAAGACCTACCATTTTTCGGGTTCTTTCTTATGGTTTCTATATACAATTCCTTAAAAAAGTAAGTCTTTCCGGCTACAGGTAGGGTTTGGGGTTTAGGGTTTAAGGTTTAGGGTTTACGGGTCGTAAAGATGTCAGGCTTCAAGAAGCTCCGCCCTACACCCAAGCCCCCACCTACAGGCTCCATTCTAGTTCCTTGTTGTAGCTCATACTTTGGGTCCTTTACTAACCCTAAGGCTCTAAGGACTCATATTTTAAGGCTTTCGGGCCCAAAGACCGTACCACGCAAGGTTTTTGGGTTCTTCTGAGGTTAAGGTAATTCCAAAAAGGAACTACAATGGAGCCTATGGGCAAGCCCTAAAACCCTGAACCCCCGACCATGGCCTAGCGTGACTGCAAGACCTTGAACTATTGCCCCTAAAACTCTATACCCTCATCGTAGTCCTGCAGCCGAATCCAATTCACCGTGGCTTGCCTTTCAATTGTGCTGCCTTTTGTTTGGTGAAGCTCTAACGTCTGAGATCCAGCCCACAGTGCTGACAATAAGCCTGCCCCATAACTCGAAAACTAGCAACACTTTGAGATTCTTAATCGGGCTTGTCTAGCCAATAGAACCCCCAAAAAGACCTAAACCCCTACAGTAAGCACCACCTATAGGCCCCAGTGTACGTAGTTCCTTTTTGTGGTTTATATTTAGGATCTCAGAAGGTAATGCCAAAAAGGAACTACAATGAAGCCTATGGGTCAGAGATATACACCCTAAAACCTGAGCCGTAAGCCCTAAACCCTGTAAACCCTGAGCCCTAAATCACGACTTTCAGTGCCCTCACGTCGACTCCAGTTCGTTCATGGGTAGTTGTAAGTGGGCCTAGAAGTAGGAAGAAGGGTAGCTACAACTATAACTTATCACCCATGTTAGGGGGCTTACAACCCCACTTACAACTGCCCATGAACTTACAAGCATGAACTCTTTAGAACACGATGAAGGGCAATAGGTAGAACTGGGAAATGTAAAAACAATCAAAACGAGAAGGGAGGGAAAACTGGAAACACAGAAAAACAACAATCAACGAACCCCAAACCCTAAACCCGAACTCCACACCTGAACCCTAAACCCTAAACCCTATATTATTTTTAAGAACCCTCAACCTTTATAAGTCCTAAACCCCAAACCCTAGATTCACAACCACACCCCAAGGGGCAGGCCACGGTCAGACAAAGGGGACAGCGATTCTGATGGCCGAGCCTTGGACCCGAATCCACTCCAAGGTTTTGGGTTTAGAGATCAGGATGGTGTAGGTTTAGGGTTTAGGGTTTAGGGTTTAGGGTTTAGGGGTTTAGGGTTTAGGGGTTTAGGGTTTAGGGTTTAGGGTTTAGGGCTTAGGGTGTAGGTTTTGGGAGTTTGGATTAGGGGGACCCTTGGGGATGTAGACCCTCTCAAAAAGGTCCCTTTTTAAGAGAGCCAAGAGTAGGGTTGAGAAGGGTCCCCTTTAAGGGGTCTCCCTAATGCCACCTAGGAGGTTTAGGGTTTAGAACCCACAGACTCTAAAACCTCTCCTCGTAGCCCAAGCTTTGGGAAGACTGTCGTCCACAGTAATTAGGCCGTTTCAAGCACTATTAATAATTCCTATCCAGAGGGCCGAATACCCATTAATTTAGGAATATACCCTCTATCAAAATATCAGCTCCCCTGCCATTTGAGGTGTGTTCCTTGTTAACGGGGTATTGGGCTCTTTGGGTAGAGCTGCCCGGGCAAACTTTGGAAAGCCTGAAACCCGGAGCAGGTTTTTCTGGTGTACTACAAACCCAGACCTCTGCCCTTGCGTTTTGGCTTGTTCGGCTTTGGTGCTTTTGATTTGGGGTTTAGGCTTTAGGAGAGGGTAACATCTACGATGACGGTTTAGGGTGTAGGGTGTAGGGTTACGGTCGATGAAGAGCCGAGCTCTCTGCAGCCACTCATCGACGCACATCCTCGGCATGCGCTGAAGGATTGAGGGCTTTATTAGGGGGTTCATCTAAGCCCGCTAAACCCTAAACCCTAAACCCTAAACCCTATAAACCCCTTACTAACCCCTAAACCCTATAAACCCCTAAACCCTATAAACCCTATAAACCCTATAAGCCCTATAAACCCCTAAACCCTAAACCCTAAACCCTATAAACCCCGAAACCCTAAACCTGATCCATAGCTCCTGTTTGGGGTGCCTTTCTTGTGGAGCCCCAACCGTAAGTAAAGCGATCCAACACTGCAGGGTCGAATATGGCGGCCTTAAGGTTCAGAAGAGAGGGTTGGGGTTTAGGGTTTAGGGTTTAGGGTTTAGGGTTTAGTTTTTTTATTTTATTTTATTTTTTTTGTAGGGGGGGGGTATGGCATGGTATGGTACAGTAAAGTAAAGTCTGGTATAATGTACTAGAAATACCGAAAAATATGAAAATAATTCTTGACATACAGAGCCCTACTAGTATAGTATAGTATAGTATAGTATAGTATAGTATAGTATAGTATAGTAAAGTATGGTAAAGTATAGTAAAGTATAGTATAGTACAGTATAGTACAGTATAGTACAGTATAGTACAGTATAGTACAGTATAGTACAGTACAGTCTAGTACAGTATATAGTATAGTATAGTACATAGTATAGTATATAGTATATAGTATATAGTCTATAGTCTATAGTCTATAGTCTATAGTCTATAGTATATAGTATATAGTATATAGCATATAGCATATAGCATATAGTATGTAGTATGTAGTATATAGTATATAGTATATAGTATATAGTATACAGTATACAGTATATGTATGTGTAGGTGTAGGTGTACATGTATATGTATGTGTATATGTATATGTATATGTATATGTATATGTATATGTATATGTATATGTGTTTGTATTTGTATATGCAAAGGTCCTGCATGTCCCTGTCGACAAAGGCGTATAACCAGAAGGCTTGCACAGACTCCCCGAATATGTCTTACAGCCGGATCTGTGAAAGCAAGTTACGGTTCCACTTAAATCCCGTCAACAAAACATTAAACCATATAGCAACAACGTGCCTTGTAGTATTTGTTCTGGGCTTTGAAATGTAAGTGTTCTTGCCTCTCACTGTTGACGGGGAGCTGCCGCCTCTGAGTGACGTCCTCGCCGACTCACCTTCCCAGCCCCCGTTTGCCAGCCGCGTCATGTGAGCCCAGCCCGCTGCGTGGGGCCTCTTTGCCGTAGACTATCGCCTTGGTTTTGGCTCTGTGCACAGGGAGTGCGCTTGTTGCCGACGACGGTGAAAAGGTCCATTGAAAAAAAAGATCCGCCGAGCGGACACGCGACAGGAAGTCGACACCCGCGGTTTGGGATGTGGGCTTGAGACAACAAGCCGATTGCTGTGCCCTACGTGCGCTCGCGCTCAGAGCTGCGGCGCATTCAATTGCAGTTTTTCGCTGGCCCACCCAACTCAACACTCATGCAACGCGACTGTCGTTCCCGACGGCTTGCATGGCTTGCCTCTGCTGGGCTAGTTGTAGCGTGTTTTACATGGCCTTCCTTAGAGGCTTCGGGGTTTGCATGCGCTGTAGCAGCAGTCCGATAGCAAAAATGGAGCCGCATGCTGCTGCATCTGCTGCACGCGCCGGGGGTAGTGCCCGGTGAGGTACAACAACAAAGCGTAATCTGTGGCCCACTCAGTGCGTATGCTACTTTATACTACACACAGATCACACAGGGACCCCGAACGGTACCACACGCAAAACCGAGCGTAGGTTCTGGCGAATTCGACACCTTCCTGCAGGCGCAATTAGACGTGACAAAAAAAGAGCATGTGAATAAACGAATGGACTTGAAGTACCCTAGACGCTTAACTTAATCAGGTCTGAATCTGCGACTGGTGTTTGCTGTCGCTGTACCGACTCGGGTGCTCGCAAAATCTTGTGTGGAATCACCACGCGATAGGCAGCCTCGACACAATGTCTTGATAGCTTTGGCTATTGAGCTAATGACCTGTATGGCCATGTTTTGATGAATGTGCCACTCCATGATTCGCCGGTTGTTGTGTTTGTTATGTGGTCAGGGAAGCACATGCTTACGTGACAATTGGCTTCGACGATCTTCTTATGTTGCATGTGCCAAGTGTGCTTACACAAGGATGTTCTACCACCATGTGTCTGTCGCATGCATTGGGCTGAGGTTAGATCATATTTCTGTTTTGCGTTTTCGGCTCCGCACTTAAAGGGCGCCGCAAACCCATGCGAGAATGCAAAGGCCCAGCACTGTGTTGTGAGGTGTGAGCGGGCTTTGCAGAACTCGGAAGCGACCGACATCCCGCAGGCAACAAAGCAGCAACTGCAAGAGTGTCCGTTCATGTTTTTCTGGCAGTCGTGTCCTGCTGCAATCGCATCGATGGACGTGCGGATTCTGTACACTCGCAGGTGCAGGACGGTTTTCAGCGGAAGCTCGTCACACGTGCGGGCTTCAGGTCAGCGCCAGACGTACTGTAATTGTTTCCACCTGTGGTGGAAACACTTTTGTGTTTGGCGCAGGACAACTGCGGACGATCGGGCAGATCAAGCAAAACTTGGCTGCCACCCCAAATGCATGTCTGCAGTCTCACCCAGTGTTCACACAAGTTCGACGGTTTTTCAGGTGCGTTTTATCCTCGTGTGGGATCACCTCTTTTATGCGAAGCCCCGCGAAAGCAGCAGAGGCAGCACGAACCAGTGTTGCTGGATGCCCTGCATGGCTCTGCAAGCCATGTTGTTTTGTCAGGCGGCCGGACGGCATGGATGTCACTGGCAAGGACCTTGTCAGTTGCTAAATCGTCGTTTTGATTTGCTTTCTGGCTGCTTCTGTAGTTGCTGCTGTCATGTGCTCATGCGTTCACGGCACCCAGCAGCCAAAACGACAGGACCTGCTTGGTGATGTGGTGTTTAACCTCACCTGAAGTGCACAGTCAGCTGTACGGCAGCTTCAGTCAGCCAGCACCTGTGTAAGCTCTCGCTGAAATTCGGCCAACCTTTCATGTGGCGGTGCATGGCAGCAGGCGTCGGATAAGAGGAACGGGTAGGTCCTCCATAAGGCCCCCTACCAATGCAGACTCCTGCTACGGGAATGTGGTGTTCTAACTTCATGATTATTGATGCACTGGCTCCTCCCACGACCCTATGAAGCCTGAAGGCCGTTCCCGAATGATTCTGCATGCCCAACCGCACAAGGTACATCTTGGTTTTCTCGCCTCATTTGTTTTTGGGTCTTGTACTCCTCGCTCTGTGCATTTTTTTCATCCTCTCTTGGCCCCGTAGAGCGTATCCTTTCAGATTCTTCCCCCATAGGTTCATGCACTGTTGGGGTCACCCGGAGGTGGTGATGGTGGCGAAATGTGGCAAACGAGGGGCAGTAAGAGCAGGAAGAATAACCGACGTCGCCGGCCTACACATACAATAACGTGACTAACAACAGTGACAACAGTTGCAAAACGTCGAAGACAATAGTGGCGGCTTCGAGCGCAGCGACCAAGCAGATGTGCGTCCAAGGGTTACAAGTCTTCTTACGCGATAGTTACGTTTTGGCGTGTCGGCGTTGGTTCAACGATTCGGTGTGCATTGGGTAGGGAGCCGGAGCCAATTGCTGCACAGGACAACTGCGACATGGAATGTGACGCAAGCAATGCAGACGCAGAGCATCGCGACGAGGGCAGCCTTCTGAGTGTTTAACGTTGATGTGATGCCAGCATCTGTCACGTACAGTTGACGAATTGGTTCTGTCATACTGATTCACTGATGAAAAAAGCCGTCGGTCACCAAGGCTCGGGTACTCAAAAAATGGGACCCCCGGAGGTGGGGCTGACTGCCCTCGGAACGCATGTATGTTTGTGTGCACCAGGACCAATTGTATTCATTGCTTTCTTGTTTCTCTTCTGTGCAAACCCCAGGTATGCCAGCTGGTGCCCGTTGCATCGCAAAGCAGTGCGGTGTCGGGTGGTATTTCCACCACTTGCAAGGGCCTTGCCTTTCTGATGTTGCTGAGGTCGCCTAGGAGTGGAGTAGTTTCTTTTTCAATGCTGGTGTACATGCAGGAAGCACCCATGTAGTTGGTGAAAGGTAGCACAGCAGCCGGCAGCGGAGTCGACGGTCTTCCACAAGGCAGCGTCGATGTCATAAACTTGTTGCCTTAAGCTTAGGTTCAAGTTTTTGCACAGTGTGAGTTAACTTCTTGTACTGTGAGTCAACGAATGAGCCATATCTGGAATCGTTTGTGAGGGCTGACATGTGGGCGAGATTGGGTGAGGACAACGATTGGCTTCTGTCGACTTCAAGAATCAGCCGTCAAGGCGGGCACCAAACAGCCATGGTGCATCGTGTTGGGCATTTGTGTTGTGAAGTTCAGGCCCGCCGCGCATCTGGTGCCGAACACATTGTGTCCAGCACGTCCACCGGCAGAGGTGGTCTCGTAGCCCAGAATTCCTTTGCAAGTCATCTTGCGTTCTACCATCACAGGCTCTTTCACGGTCATCCTCAGTGCCCAGTGGTCGTGGTAAGCGAGGTCCGTGAGACACCCAGACGTTTTGGCCAGGTGTTGCGCCAGGCATTCACCGTCTCTGGTGCTGTGAAGTTGTTTGTGCAGAGATTGCAATTGGACTCCGAGGAGCCAGGCTGCTGCCGACGGCGCGTCCTTGTTCTTAAGCGACCAGACCAAGGGAGCACATTTTGGCACCATGCCAAGGCAAGTACGTTGGACCCACCCTCCATCCGGGCAGTGGTTCAAAGGAGAGCTCCGAATCTTGCTCAAAGGGCTGGGGTTCCACATTGCCTGCATCGATATCAAACGCTCGTAGTTCTCGACTGAAGGTCCTAGAGTCCTAGAAGATGTGCCACGCATACTGTAAGCTAGACATAGGTCCGATCCCACAACTGCTGGCACAACCGGTTTATACCTGTACTAAGCCTTGCGTCGTCGCCAAGCAAGTCGCCTTATGCTGGATTGGACCAGTGGATCGTAATTTTTGAAATTTTGTTCTTACCGTCCATGCTACGAGACCTCTGACACAACCCCAGAGTGCCTTATCGTGCAGCAAAGCTAGGACACAGGCAGATGTCTGTCGTTTGTCTCAATGCAGGCATGGGGTTTGCATATGCTTGATCAATCATGCTCGTGCTGCCAGGGATGTGGAAGTTCTGCCACAAAGTTTAGGGCCCGGCCCAGCACGACGGATGCTAAGAATCAAGCAGCAGAATTCTGCAAAAATGCCTTGTGGACAAGCCTTGGACCTAGGCTATGATTCGAGCACCGCTGCATTCAAGACCTCGGGCAGGGTAGCTGCCCCAGCACATGAGGTCGGACAGCCCTGTGTTCCACAGGGGATGTGTGACGACCTGTCTGATGATAAGGTTTCTTTCGGGATGCCGAAATTCAATGCCGAACCCCGCAGAACGATGGAGGGCATGTACGTTCGCGGCTGGTCCGGGCCTGGCGTTGGAAAGCGCCTCGGCCTACGGAGTGGGACGATGTTGCTGAGGCAGAGGCATTTCATCGAATCCGTGTTACCAGAACGGGTCTCATTCTTGAATTTCTCGCCCAGCCGCCACGCTCATGTTCTAGCTGCTACCTTCAAGGTCGCATGAGCATCACACATTCAATCAGCTTTCAGGGGCGAGCAGCGTGTGGATTGACTTGCAGGGTTTCAGATCCCGTACTCATTTCTTTTGCCATCAAATTCAGCCTTGATAGTGCATCGGGATGTGTCGTATATCTGAGCATTCATCGACCACGACTCGTGTCTGTTGTGTCTCGCAAGCAAGATCACGTGCTCGTCCGTGTTCGCCACGGTCATCAGTTGAGCTGCTTCATGCTGCTTCGCCTTCTAACACTCTTCTACCAGTCGTAGCTTATAACTGCTTTCCGTTTGTCCTTTCGCCAATATGGCGGAACAAAGTGTGTGAAAGTCTAGGTTAAGGACCTTTCCGCTTAATTGGTGTGAACTTGCTCGATGTGCAATCGTTCCACGAAAGACCTGCTTTAGGATTCGCTGCGTATTGGGCCTTGTGAAAGCTCGAGGTACAACCCACCGTTGCGTTCGCGCTCAAGGCGCATGCCCCGTTCTTCCAAGACACCTGGAGATGCAACAGCCCTGCCTGCCTGCCAGCAGGGGTGGCAGCTTCACCCGTGCAGCTCGTTGGGGATCGAGATCAGCAGGCAAGACAAAAGCTTTTGCAAGTGAATATGTCACTCCCACAGCCAGGTGGCCTTCCTGGGGCTCTTCCGAGCCCGTCTCCTGGCCCGATGAGCTATAAGCCAAATCATGCTGCATTGAGCACCGTCCACTGACACGCTATCAAAACTTGATGACGTGATGCGGTAGGAGGCCTGTACAGTCAGTTCTGGGACCGTATGGCCGCAAAAGGTAGGCCGCATGGTCAACCAGAGCTTACATTGCAAGTGCTACTGTGCACGCACCAAAGGTCAATGCTAATCTCCCTTTGTGTCGCTCGGGCAAAGCATGCTGAGACCTGTCGTGGAGGCGAAGCTGCAAAAACGATCTGCCGACCGGCAGAAACTTCGCTTTGGATGCCGCGACAACTCCATGGGAACGAAAGAGACGGGCAATGCCGCTGGCACGCGATATGTTCAACATGTAAAAGCTGGCATGTAAAGCCGGCATGTTAAAATGAGTGCTGATCGAGGGAGACATGCATCACTTGATCGCAGAGAAAGGCTCAAGTAGGCTGAAAGTGTATGGAATCGGGTGCAGTGATGGACCGAGTTTCGGCTGGACCTTTGCCCCTGCAGCGAGCACGTGAGAAACTTTCCAGCCTGCAGAGTGGCTCATCCACTCCGACAAGTAACTTGTCCAGGAACGTAGTGGGGCATGTGGACGGTTCTTGACGAGTTTCGTGCTGCGCGGGTACAACTATGTTCTTGGATGCGGGATTTCGGAGTCGAGACGGCTTCCATTTCTTTACCTGTTGGTAGGATTCTGCGTGCTCTCTCTCTCTCTCTCTCTATGTACATATATGTGTCACATGTGTATATGTCACGTTTGTTTCAATACCCAGAACTGGTTATGCCAGAAGGCGTAGGGCGTGTGGTGGTGTAGACCCCCAAAACCGGTGTCATTCGGGTCTGGTTTTGGCAGCCATTCCCCACGGCACACGGACATTTGTGGGGGGTATCATGGCCACCGCACAGCACGAAACCCCGAACGTAAACCGAGCATATGTCAAAGCAGGGCCTACGGTTCCAGGCTTCAAGACGAGGAAGAAGACTCTAGGAAGTCGAGCTCGGTTGCCATCTCCAGAAACAGGGCTGTT